CTTACCCTGTTCGGAGAGCTTTACTGAAATTAAATCACCACAGCCACAAGAGGCGGGTATTGCTATGATTCCCATTTTAGAGATGGCAAAACTGAGGACACAGAAATGAAATAATTTGCCAGAATGTAAACGCCAGGTGAGTGGCGAAGCTGGTATTCACACAGCAGCAGTCTGGTTCCTGATCCCAACCCCGGCCTCCAAAGGGAGGGTGTCCCAGAGATGGACAAGGGAACCCACACACGTGTGGGTGGGAAATGGGAATCTGGTTGCTTGCTTAATGTCCAGCCCGGAAGAAGACGAAGAGGGAAGCTGATCAGCACGGACATGTGTAGACAGTGGTAAGTCACGGAGACTGACACTGAGGCGCCATCAGAGCACTGCCTTGGGGAGAGGCAGTCACGACTGAGGAATGTGGACACTCTGGATTCCATAGTGCCTGGCATCTGAACATGTCCCCAGTGCCCAGGCCATCTATTATAAGAGATGGAGCACCCGCTTCTGGGATGGAAGCTGAAAAGTCGGTCTATTTATTCGTTCCCTTCCCCACTGGCTGTGGCCACCTCTGGGCAAGAGGCAGCGGCGGTGGGATGGGTGTCAGTGGTGATGCTCAGTGTCCAGCAGTCATGACAATGGCAGTCTAGGGACCAATGGTGGCAGAGGGGATGGTTTGTGGAAGGAATTCACACTGCCAAAATACGCAGCTGAAACTGAATACGGAACATTCCCCACATTCAATGTCCTCATGCAACTCCACCATCTTGGTTGGCCATCCTCTCTCCCTCCTCCTCTCCCCTCAGGAGTCTGCCTCCAATCCTCCCCTTCTAGTTCTCTACGTTTGCCCCCTGTTGCACCCTGAATGACCTCTCTTCATTTCCAATTAGCTCATCCAACATATTTCACTTAGAAGAATTCTTCCGTAGAAGAATTCTCCTGTGATTTGGGTGGGGTGGGGAAAGGGGAAAGCTAGCATTCTTGTTTCTCATCCCACCAGTCCTTAATTGTACAGAAACCTGGTGTTAATAAACATAAAAGTAACAGTTTTCAGATGTTCCTCCTGCCCCCCACTCCATGGAACTCCTTTTTCAAATAAGAGTGGATGCAGAACCCCAAGATGTGAAACACACACACCTTTAAAACACGAGGCGAAATTCATGTCACACAAAATTAACCATTTTAGAGCGAACAGTGCGGTTGTATTTACCACATCCGCAATGCTGGGCAACCACTACTTCTATCCAGTTCCAGAAATATTTTCATCACACCGAAATAAAACCCTGAACCCATCAAGAAGTTACTCGCCCCGCTGCCAGCCCTTGCAAACCATCAGCCTGGTTTTTGTCCCTCTGGATTTGCCTCTTCTGGACATTTCCTATCTGTGAAATCGCACAACATGTGACCTTTTGTGTCTGACTTTTTTCACTCAATAAGTCTTTGAGGCTCATCTGGGTTGGTTACAGGAATCAGAACTTCACTCCTTTTTATGGCTGATTAATATTCCCAGGTATGGGGGCGCCTGGGTGGCTCAGTGGATTGAGCCGCTGCCTTCGGCTCAGGTCATGCCCCGCATCGGGCTCTTTGCTCAGCAGGGAGCCTGCTTCTCTCTCTCTCTCTCTGTCGGACTCTCTGACTACTTGTGATCTCTCTCTCTGTCAAATAAATAAATAAAATCTTAAAAAAAAAATATTCCCAGGTATGAATGTGCCACAGTTGGGTTACCCATCCATTTGTTGAATCCTACACACTTCTGCTCTGTCGGAACCGCAAGTGGGGGCCGCGAGATCCCCCCACCCCCACATCCAACACTCTCCTCCAAGAAGCTCCCGCACTCCTTCGAGCTTGGTCTCCAGGAGCCTTGGGGGCAAAGCCGACTTGTTTCCCTGGAGAGGTCACACCCTGAGGCAGGGATCGGGGCTTCTGCAGAGAGAGGGACTCTGCCTCCAAAAAACAAAACCGAAACCGGCTGCATCCATGCAGAAGAGTGGCTGACCCGTGGAAACGGAAGGAATCCTGGGAGGTGGGAGGCTGTCTGGCTCCAGGGGCTCCCAGCGGCTGCCCGTGGGTCCCACCCAAGGGCCCCGAGGCCTCCTCCGCCCCCTTGGGCAGGTATGCCTCTGCGGGCCCCGCCAAGCCTGTGGCTTTTTAGGACTTCACTTGTTGAAACTGAAGCCACGCCTCCGTGAGTACATTCTCCGCACAGCACACCATCCAGAGGGGCCGGGCTGCCGGCGTCCTCGTAATTGCACAAGTTTTCTCTGTCTTGCCCCTTTATTTAGGGGGGATTTCCCCAAGCGCCACCAGGAAGCCCTTGGCGCATTTTGCTCCTTTTCCGGACAGAAGGTCTGTCCCTGCTCTGCTGCGGAAAGGGGCGAGCAGACGACCCTGGGAGGGAACACCCGGCTTGCAGGGCAGGACCAGGCTGAGCGCTTTGGTGCGGTCAGGTCACGAGGCCAGGTTTAGTCGGGATAAGCCCTCTCTGAAAGGAGCCCTGCTCCTGTAATAACGGGGAAAATCCTCTGCGTGAAGGGCCCGCGCCACCCTGGGCTCAGACATGCTGATTCCACGACTGGGCGATCCCCGCGGCTGCGCACGGCCCCGCAGCCCAGGTAGGAGGCGCAGCTGGTTCGTGTCAGTGTCAAGGGCGGAGACGGCTTGTTTGCCCAACTGGATGACGTGGGTCAGCGCCTCCGAGGAGGCCTCACCTGCCTCTGAATGGGAGAGAAAGTTCAGTGGCTGGAAAGCAGACCTCCTGAGGGCCCGCAGCCTCCAAAGCCCCAGACGTTCCCGAATGTAAGTAGACGGCAGAGCCGCACCCGCCTGCCTTCCTGGTCTTGGGGGAGCCCGAGGGGCTGGCGGTGCTGTCGCTTGGGAGGAGGGTTCCCCAAACGGCCACGTCTTCTCACCGTGGTTTTGAAATTTACACGGAGCCAGAAGTAGGTTTATTTATTTATTTTTTAAAGATTTATTTATTTTAGAGAGAGAGCGCGAGCCCAAGAGGGAGAGGCAGAGGGAGACGGAAAGAGAAAATCTCAAGCAGACTCCCTGCTGACCGCAGAGCCCAACACGGGGGCTCCATCTCCCCACCCCAGAGGTCATGACCTCAGCCGAAATCAAGAGTCCGAGGCTCAACCGACTGGGTCACGCAGGCTCCCTGAGCCAGAAACAGTTTTGTCATTGTGGTTAGTCTATTTTCCTATAGCAAAAGCTAGTTCAAATGCTCTGATTTTTTTATAAAGATTTTTATTTATTTAATTGACAGAGAGCGAGAGAGGGAATACAAGCAGGGGGAGTGGGAGAGGGAGAAGCAGGCCTCCAGCGCAGCAGGGAACACGATACCGGGCTGGATCCCAGGACCCTGGGATCATGACCTGAGCCAAAGGCAGTTGCTTAACGACGAAGTCACCTAGCCACCCCAAGTACTCTGATTTTTAATATAATTATTTAATTTAATCTGGTGAATGAGTTGCAAAAATTAATATTACATTGAACTGAGTGGGTTAGTGGGTTAAGCGGCTGCCTTCAGCTCAGGTCATCATCCCAGGTGGAGCCCTGCAAGGCGGCGTCGGGGGGTGGGTCCTTGCTCAGCCGGAAGGCTACTTCTCCCTCTGCCGGCCGCTCTCCCTGCTTGTGCTCTCTCTCTCTGATAAATACATACATACATACATACAATATTACATCGAACTGTATGAAATCCCAACTGTCTGTAGGTTAAACTGGTGAGCAAGGGGAAGTGACAACCCTTGATATGGGAGTAATGATTAACACTCATCATTGTTTGCTAATGAGGCATCATTTTGCAAATGAACCTCAGAAAAAAACCCTGAAGTGATTAATTTTAGCTACATGAAGATTTTTATGTTCTGTTAGCGAGGATATGACTTTTTTTGTCCATCTTATGAACAGTAATGGCAAGAAAAGTTTAAGGAGTTGTATCCTTTTGACCCAAAGGTTTGGAACGAGAGAATCAGTCGTTCACTACAGTGATGTCACTTCGATTTTCTCAGTTTGGGGGCATTTTGGTGCTCCTGAAAATGCTCACATGTTCTTTTCCAGTGGCCGTTCAGTACGCGTAGCACGCAGTAGCTACTCAGTGCCCCCAGATCAGACTGGTAATCTCTAAGGCTCCAGCTCTAAAAGTCGATAATTTTACAAGTTTTCTGTAACTTAGTTTCTCCGGTGCCGCAAAAGCACGGGTAAGAGTCCCCGTCCTGCTGGTGTTAGGGGGTCTTGTGGAACTCTGTGAGCTGTGTGGACGCCTCCTCACGACACGGTGATCAGTCATCAGTGTCGCTAAGTGAGCCCGATGGAATGGGGTCTAGTGGTCTGGGCCGCCTGCCGCTGTACCTGATGACTGATTCCTTGTCTGGCCCCAGCTATTCATTTTCCTCCCCAAGAAAACCATTCTGCCTTTGTAGAAATATGTGCAAAAGCGAAACTGATTTGATGAAACAAGTGCTTAGAGTAAAAAAATACAAAAACCATATGTTGCCGAAGGGAAGTGGGTTTCGTGCCTCCTGTTGTGGGACACCAGGCTCTGTGGTCACTTGTCGGGGGAAGTGCCACACCCAGCATTTCCAGCATGAGCACCACTGGGAACAGAGAGCACCCCGAGAACGCCACCCCTGGAGCTCTCTTTGGCACCTGCGTCCCTTCTGTCACTCCATTACTGGATACACCTCTGTGTGTGCATTGGCGTTCACACACACTCAGGAACAAACTCGTTTTTCAGAAGCGGCTGCCAACCCCGGGCTAGGGAGTAAACACAGCAGCCCGTCCTGGGAAAGAAGTCTGGGAGGCATATAGCAGAAGAAAACAGTTCAAGGGTGATTTTTCCATGATGTGACCGCAGAGATCCATTTTTCCCATCATCTGGCTTTTGAGTTTGGGGAGACATGCCGCAGAAAAAGCCTCAGATCTCCTTCAATTTTACAGATGTGTATACCTTTTTATTTCTTCTAGTGGCTTCTGGTAAAATCCTGAGAGACGCTGGCACCTGAATCGCCATGGGCAACGAGACCAGCACCTCGGGAAGCCAGGTGGGTGTCAGGGTCTCCCCCCCACCCCAACCTACGAGGGTCCCTTGACTGACCTTGACTAGATTTTTTTTTTTTCAGCATCTCCTCTCCACCCAGGAAGGAGCAAGCTATAACACAGATTATGCATAGATACATATGGACACATATGTATTTCCAGAAGCATTTACCAGTTGCATTTTCAGAATTCTTGTATCAAGGCTAGCCCTGATTTTATAAACCATATTAAAAAAAAAAAAAACTAGTTTATTTTTTTTAAGATTTTATTTATTTATTTGATAGAGATCACAAGTAGGCAGAGAGGCAGGCAGAGAGAGAGAGAGGGGGAATCAGGCTCCCCGCTGAGCGGAGAGCCCGATGCAGACCTCCATCCCAGGACCCTGAGACCATGACCTGAGCCGAAGGTAGAGGCTTTAACCCACTGAGCGACCTGAGCCGAAGGTAGAGGCTTTAACCCACTGAGCGACCCAGCCCCCACCCCCTACAAAACCTAGTTTAACTGTTTATTCTGTGCTTTTAAAATTGACATAGTAAGAATTTGGCATATTTTCCCCAGATTGTGTCCCCCCCAATCCATTTACTTCTGTGGATACATTGGAGGGGGCTGAAATAAAAACTTATCCACACTTCTCCCCAAAATAAAGTAATGGCCCTTAAAGAGTGATCTTCAAATCTGTCGACGTTGAGCAGATTAAACATGAACTATCATTTCCATGTTAGGGAAGGTTTTCACAACTGAGGGATGAGCCTTAACTGCTTGATGGCACATACAGCTGGGATTCTTAACATATATTCAAATTTTATAGCAATTCTGCATTTTCAGTTTGAGAGACTTAATTCAATGCCCTGGTGAACAAAATCAGGGGGACGCTTTCCTGTTTATCTCACACACCGTGGAAATTTCGGATTAATGGTATTGAGTTTTCTGAAGGAGATAATTGGATCTGAAAGCCAGCATAAAGCAATCTGCTTTCCCTCTGCTGCTTCTTCCCTACGATATTCTTTTCTCAAGGAGGAACAGGAATCATCAAGACAAAATGTGGCAAATTCCCATGCCAGAAAAGTAATTGTGGTCAATGGCAGGATGTGAGACAATAGGGAGAAGGAAGGACTGTGGCAAACAGGAGGGATCCTGTCCTATTGTCTGATGGAGGCCCCACCGTCAGCTCCGACTGATGGCTGCCAGGTGGGAGTGCAGGCCCAGTGTTATAAGACCTTCCTATCTCTTCAAGAGAAGTCAAAAGGCCACATTTTTCTATGAAATCCTATAGTTAAATTTGTTTATGTTGAGACAATGGTAGATGAGCAGACTGTTGCAAGACCCAATACAGAGAAGTCCCTGATCCCTTTACCTAGTTTCCCCCGGGGGTAGCATCTTTCGAACCACAGTGCACACTCATATCCATGTTGAGACAGTCAAGATATAGAACTATTTCCAGCACCTGAAGGATCCCTTTCCATTTCCTTAGGGCCACGCCCACCACCTCCTGTTCCCCACTCCCAACCCCTGGTGCCTCCTCGTTTGTCCTCTATGTCTGTAATTTTGGCTTCCTGAGAATGTTCTGTAAATGGAGTCACATGGTATGGGACCTTTTGGAATTGGCTTTTTTCAATCCGCTTAATTTCCTGGAGATTCATCAAGGTTGTTACATGTTTCAGTAGTTCACTCCTTTTACTTGCTGAGTCGTGCTCCATGATCTAGAAACACCTGCGTTGTTCCCAGCTTGGGGTGAATACCAACAAAGCTCTTGTGAACATCTGTATACGGGTTTTTGTGTGCGTGTGAACATGTTTCGTTCCTTTGACGCAAATGCCCAAAAGCACAATTGCTGGGTCGTTGTTAGTTGCGTGTTGTATAAGGAACCGCTGAACTGTCAGAATCTCTGTACCGTTTTTCATTCCCACCAACAATGAGCCATGGATGAGTGATTCCCGTTTTGCCACATCCTGGCCATCGTTGGTGTTGTCCCTGTTTGGGGAGGCCATGCTGATATGTGTGTTGTGATGTGTCGCTCTGGGTTTCATTTGCATTTCCCTGATAACTGGTGTGGCTGATCTTTCTTTTTCTTTTTTTAATTTTTTATAAACATACAATGTATTTTTATCCCCAGGGGTACAGGTCTGTGAATCACCAGGTTTACACACTTCACAGCACTCACCCCAGCACATACCCTCCCCAATGTCCATAACCCCACCCCCCTCTTCCAACCCCCCTCCCCCCAGCAACCCTCAGTTTGTTTTGTGAGATTAAGAGTCACTTATGGTTTGTCTCCCTCCCAATCCCATCTTGTTTCATTCATTCTTCTCCTACCCCCTTAACCCCCCATTTTGCATCTCCACTTCCTCATATCAGGGAGATCATATGATAGTTGTCTTTCTCCGATTGACTTATCTCGCTAAGCATGATACCCTCTAGTTCCATTCACGTCATCGCAAATGGCAAGATTTCATTTCTTTTGATGGCTGCATAGTATTCCATTATGTATATATACCACATCTTCTTTATCCATTCATCTGTTGATGGACATCTAGGTTCTTTCCACAGTTTGGCTATTGTAGACATTGCTCCTATAAACATTCGGGTGCATGTGCCCCTTCGGATCACTACGTTTGTATCTTTAGGGTAAATACCCAGTAGTGCAATTGCTGGGTCATAGGGTAGTTCTATTTTCAACATTTTGAGGAACCTCCAAGCTGTTTTCCAGAGTGGTTGCATCAGCTTGCATTCCCACCAACAGTGTAGGAGGGTTCCCCTTTCTCCACATCCTCACCAGCATCTGTCATTTCCTGACTTGTTAATTTTAGCCATTCTGACTGGTGTGAGGTGATATCTCATTGTGGTTTTGATTTGTATTTCCTTGATGCTGAGTAATGTGGAGCACTTTTTCATGTGTCTATTGGCCATCTGGATGTCTTCTTTGCAGAAATGTCTGTTCATGTCTTCTGCCCATTTCTTGATTGGATTATTTGTTCTTTGGGTGTTGAGTTTGCTAAGTTCTTTATAGATTTTGGATACTAGCCCTTTATCTGATATGTCGTTCGCAAATATCTTCTCCCATTCTGTCAGTTGTCTTTTGGTTTTGTTAACTGTTTCCTTTGCTGTGCAAAAGCTTTTGATCTTGATGAAATCCCAATAGTTCATTTTTGTCCTTGCTTCCCTTGCCTTTGGCGATGTTCCTAGGAAGATGTTGCTGCGGCTGAGGTCGAAGAGGTTGCTGCCTGTGTTCTCCTCAAGGATTTTGATGGATTCCTTTCTCACATTGAGGTCCTTCATCCATTTTGAGTCTATTTTCGTGTGTGGTGTAAGGAAATGATCCAATTTCATTTTTCTGCATGTGGCTGTCCAATTTTCCCAACACCATTTRTTGAAGAGGCTGTCTTTTTTCCATTGGACATTCTTTCCTGCTTTGTCGAAGATGAGTTGACCATAGAGTTGAGGGTCTATTTCTGGGCTCTCTATTCTGTTCCATTGATCTATGTGTCTGTTTTTGTGCCAGTACCATGCTGTCTTGATGATGACAGCTTTGTAATAGAGCTTGAAGTCCGGAATTGTGATGCCACCAACTTTGGCTTTCTTTTTCAATATTCCTTTGGCTATTCGAGGTCTTTTCTGGTTCCATATAAATTTTAGGATTATTTGTTCCATTTCTTTGAAAAAAATGGATGGTACTTTGATAGGAATTGCATTAAATGTGTAGATTGCTTTAGGTAGCATAGACATTTTCACAATATTTATTCTTCCAATCCAGGAGCATGGAACATTTTTCCATTTCTTTGTGTCTTCCTCAATTTCTTTCATGAGTACTTTATAGTTTTCTGTGTATAGATTCTTAGTCTCTTTGGTTAGGTTTATTCCTAGGTATCTTATAGTTTTGGGTGCAA